CTTTCACTTCTTGCTTTCACAATGATTGTAAGCTTACAGTGAAACTGACCTAGAACCAGAGGAAGTAAGAGCAGAGTGAGTTTTGGTCCAGCAAAACCGGCTCTCGCCACTGCTTATCTTTGTGTTTAAGTTGGCCTTTCCTGGAGAAGCTGAGAAACCCCAACTGGCATGTTCTAGTTCATCTGTTCACTAAACTTGTGAGGTTTCCTCAAACACATTTATCAAAATAATGGGCTGTAATTCAGGTTTCGGAGAAGAAAAGCACTACCGAATATTAGGGCTGATTGGGACTTTACAGACATTCATTTTGCAAATGAGCATCCTCTCTTGTTAAAGGTCACACTGGCGAAGCTGAGACTAGAAGTGGGGACATGGTCACTCCATGTCTGTGTTATTGTGTTTCTCACATTCCTTGGATCCATCTGGAATATAGAGTTTTACTCTTACATAGACTGTTCATTACTCTTGTTAGATTCCTGGTCAGAGACAAAAGTTCTAGCTTCTTACCTCTTTGTATAAAACTTTTAAAAGGCAAGCTCAATTTATATCTTCCAAATCTTTTCCCCAAATATTCCCCTTGAGTCCCTCAGTTTAGTACAACCGGTCTGTTCCTTGTTGCATAGAAGGACCTTGCTTCTTCCTTGAGCTTACAGTATTCCCAGGCATTATCTTTTGTGGTCCATTTATCTTTCAGAACCATCCAGCTTTCACAGTCCCTGTCAAGGGCCACTCCTGCCTAAGCTAACACTTGCCACATAGGCCAGTTCTTTCTGTGCGCCGTGTATTGCTGTCTCTTTTCGCATATATAAAAGTCCCTTTTGCAGGCTTATTTTTGCAAGAATCTTAGGCTTTAAGATTCTTGAGTACAGGATGAGAATCTGATTCATCTGGAGCTCTAGTGCCAGACAAATACAGTTATTCATTCATTAAATTAACAGACATCTTTAGTGAGTGTCTATCATGTATTAGGCCCTGGGACTCCAGGATGATAATTACTTCTGCTCTCAAGGATTCAAGAGTTTAGTTTGGGATACAGGCAAGCAGGGAGGCAGAGGCGTGTGAAGAGCACAGTATTCTAAGTGCTGTGGAAGTTAACTTGAACTGGTTGATAGAAAACATGAATCGTGTCCTTAAGGACTCATAGGGAGTGGTGCTCAGGATTGAAATGATGCATAATAGAGGAGACATCATTTTTAATTGAGAGGTAGCTACATTGAAAGGGAGGGAGATAAAATTAGAGGAAATGGATGAATTTCCAGCAGAATATGAAAATGACCTCAAAAGAAGCATACAACTGCCACAACTATCCTAGAAGTTACTGGAATTATGATTAAGATCTGTCATTACAGAATCACGTCCAAATGTGTTTCCACTAAGTCCTGAAAAACTTTTAAAGATCAGTTAATTCTAATCTCCTCAGAATGAAACAAATCCAAACAGTAGAAAAAGGATATAGAACCCTCATGTTGAAACCAAATAATGATAAGTAAAACAAGTAGAGGGAAAAAACACTACAGGATAATCTTACTTATGATTATCGGTACAAAAATTCTATATAAAATAGCATATTTAATTCATCAGTATCTCAGATAGTATAACTGTGGGTAGGCTTTTTATCCTGGGAACGCAGACATGGTTAAATATCTGGAAATCTATCAAAATGATTAATTCCATTGCTAAATTAAGGAAGAGAAAAGAGATGACTATATCACTGGAGGTTAAGAAGGAAGGTGCAGAGATTCTAAAGAGGGATGAGTAACCAAACAGATCAACATCCATTCATTTACACACTTATCTGTAGCATAGCTTTCTAAAGGCTTTCTAGCCAGGCATTGTGGTCATATGGTGAGACTACTCAGAAGCTTCCAGCTTACTGGGTCAGTCCCTGTGGATTGTTGTAAGTATGATACAAGTATCTGACAGTAAGCTACTCTTTTTTGGGGAAGGTGGAGTTTGGGAAATGTTCACAGCATCAGACACATTTGCATTGGGTCAAGATAAAGAAAAGTAGGGCTTGGTAGAAAATGAAGGGAAGGAAAGGGCAGTGTAGATGGTGGGCATAGCATGAGCTAGAGTTTGGGGTCATGGAAAATCATTACAAATTCTGTGAATGGTGTCACTGGACCCCTGTTGACATATGGAAGAATGGTATGAGGAGATGCCATAGAGGTCACCTGCAAACAGATAGAAGGCCAGACCCTGACACTCTCAGGAGGTGGAGCTGGCGGTGTGTCCGTGAGGAGGAGAATAGCCAGGTAGCATGAGGTACTTGGGATGAATGTAAAGATGGTGGTGTCAAGTACTTGCATCTTGATGCTGAAGTTTTCATTTTTTATACTTTCCCAGAAGTTGCCTGTTCTTTTATATCTACAGCATATCTGAAAAAGCCAGGATTCTACAGTCAATTGGCAATGTGGGATTGATCTGGAAATGTGCCTCTTTGCTTTAGAAATCACTGCATCCCATATTAACCCATTTTTTAAAGTTTCTATTCTGGAGTGACTTTAGATTTATAGAAAAGTTGCAGGGATAATATTAATGTGTAGATAAAATGTATACCACAAATGTGCCTAGTGCGTTAAAGTGTATAAAGCTTTATTTTCTCCTACTTGGTCCTGACCTGTGCTCGCTTTAGTCATGTTGAAAGCAGAACAGACACTTTGATCCCCTTTCAGTAGGAGACTGAGACTTGATTAAGAAAAAAATACATACACAAAACCAAGATTAGTGTTCTTCAGTCCTAAGAGAAATCTTCTCCTATGATTGTTAATGTGCTGCCAGATTTAAGAACCATGAGTAAGCCAGACTCATGGTTGTGTCTCCATATTGGTTTTGTGCTTGGCCTTAATGGTGATTTTAGGAATGTGTAAACTATGGTCATTGCCCTTTCCTTTTTTTATATGTATTATTTATTTTTATTTTAGAGAGAGAGAGTGCACGCAAGCGAGTGAAGTGGGGATACTGAGGTAGAGGGAGTGAGAGAGAGAATCTTAAGCAGATTCTCCATGCTCAGCATGGAGTCAGATAGGAGGCTCAATCCTACGACCCTGGCATTATGACCTGAGCTGAAATCAAGGGTCTGACACTCAGACCACTGAGAGGCCCAGGGATCCCTGGCCGTTGCTCTTTCAAGGAACTCACAGTTGAACAAGGGTCTGCACATAGCCTGTGTACAAGGAACAACGGAGGGAGAGGAAAAGAAGCTTCCTGCAACCAGAGTGCAAAGCTAGGGTCACCACTGGCTTCAGCAATAGAAGCCTTCTGATTCCTAGTTTAGAGCCTTCCTCACTGATTCCCATCATCCCCTTTTATGGAGAAAACTACTGCAAGCATTGTCTTTCTCTCACTTTGCAGAGCACTTCATAGTACATGAGACACTATAATGTTGTTATCTCATTGGTTGTCCTACAAGTCTGCAAGTTAGAACAGGGCTTTATTTTAACTGTGAAGTAGTTGAGGTACCTGAGGCCCTGATGCAGGGTCAGGGTGTGTGTGTGTGTGGAGGGGGGGCTGTTCCAGGTCACGCCATTCCTTCTGATACTACCTGGCCACATGATGTCCTCCCTGTCCCTGTCACCCCATCTGTGGTACCATTCCGTGTACGGAGGCCTTTATTTTCCCCTGCATTTCTAGTGTTCTTTGTTTTTTTAAAGACATCTGGAGGTAATCATGGAGCCCTCTCAATTAATTCAGCTCAATTAAAAAATTACTGGGTGGATGTGGGGCTGGGAGCCGGCGCAGGGTGGCTTCCGGGCCTCCCTGGGCTGGAGAGCTGTTGCAATCAGGCTTGGAGAGCCCTCCTCTTCAGCAAGCAGTCTGGGAGGCTCAGCCCTTGCCTGCAAGCTGCCTGGAGGGGTGACTGGCTTACCCTGATAGGCAAGACATCCTTTTTCTTTCCTCGCATAGTGCATTGTAATCCAATCAGAAGAGCATAGTGGCTGTGCTGACACCCCTCCCCCCCACCTCCCTGCCCCAGGTAGGTTTTTCATAGATCTTCCCTATGATACTGGCCTTGCACAGCATCCAATGCTTTGTCATGCAGGGCTGGCCTGTTCATTACAGGTGTTGAATATTCCCCGTGTCTTGCTACCAAGTCGGTATGGTCCCAGGCATTGTGGCAAATGAGGTTCCCTCCCTCCCCTCAATTTGCAAGGGCCCCTTGGTGTGGAGAGTGACTGTTCCTATAAGAGGAATTGCTTGAAAGTCTCCCGACATGTACTAGTTTTGCCCTTGTGTCAGGAATAACCTTTGGGGGCCTCCTTCGTGCTGACCGAATGAATTCGGGCTCCCCAGGTTAGGGCGCAATGCTTTCTGGGCTTTGGCTCCATTCCACGTTTTAGTTGTTTGCTAGTTACTTTTCCTTACTCCCCCTCCAGTCACACCAAACATAAGTGCTGTGTAGTTTTCTACCTGTGCTGCTTTGCTGACATGGTTCAGACGGGCCTCTGCTTAGCACTCAGGGCCCAGTGTGACGGGCACCTCCTCAGCGACGTCTTTGCTCGGCTCCCAGCAAGGAGTAATCTCACCTCTTTCTGCATCCTAGGAACAATTCCTGTTATCTCACTTAGGTGATATTACCTAGTTTGGGTAACTTATGACCATTTACTTGATTGGTAATCATTTTAATAGGTTGTTGATAAAGTTGAAGCCTTTTTCCAACCTTGTTTGGTATTAGACTCTTCTTCAGTTTAGGGGACATTCCTTGTATCTGTTTCCTGAAGACTGTTAGTGCTAAAGAGGTTACTTTCAGAAGGATTCAAGATGGGTGAGGGGGATGTTCCTTTTTCTCTGCCCATGGTCAGTTTTTCCTCTTCCTAGCCTCCTTCCTCTTCCTCCCCCCACCCCGTCCCCATTCACCTTTTCTCTCTCTTCCTTCTCAGAGAGCTTTGTCAAGGTTTCAAGTGTTCAGGTACGGATTAAGATGAAATTATGATGAAATGAGGGATATGTTGCCTCCATTTTTGTGCTTCTGGAAACCAACTGTGTTTCTTTCTTTTTAGTTTCAGATTCTGACAATGTCTCATCCATCTTGGCTGCCACCCAAAAGCACTGGGGAGCCCCTCGGCCATGTGCCTGCGCGGATGGAGACCACCCATTCCTTTGGGACTCCCAGCATTTCAGTGTCCACACAACAACCACCCAAGAAGTTTGCACCAGTAGTTGCTCCAAAGCCCAAGTACAACCCATACAAACCTGGGGGGGAAGGTAAGTGGGGGGGATTTTAGAGTCGGGTGCCCAAAGCGGGAGAGTTCAATATAATAAGAGTGACTCATCTGCATGAAGTTGTGTCAGAAAAAGGTTAGCTCTAGAATTCAGTGTGCATATTATAGTTAATAGACTGTCAAAGGTTAAAAAACATCTAGAAACTAGCAATGCCAGCCTTTTGTTTAGGGTCAAAGAGAGTGACAACCCTCAGGGATATTATGGCTGTGGTTATACAGTGAGTTGGGTCTAGAGCCAAAACTAGAACCTTGGTGTCTTCATTCATAGCCCAGTGCCTTTCTATCGCGTTATCTTCTACCTCATTCCATGTAGAGATGTATCTGCTACCCAGCTGCCATTGGACAAGTGTCCCCAAAGGCTGCCAAGCAGTGGTCTGATTGGAAACCCATATGGAGTGAACCTCCTGAGGCACCTGGAATTGTTTAAGCTTCTCAGGCTCTCTCTCTCCTCCTCTAGACTGCTGTGGGATAAAGTTGCCTAGAGAGCTCTGTGAGATCTTCATTTGTAGAAGGTCACAGGCAAATGTGAATGAAACCTGGTTCTTAGAGGTTGTAATAGCAGTACATTCAATTTTGCTCAAGTTGAGTTTGATGATGCACAGGAGCTCAGCATCTCAGGTGTATAGGTACCTGCACATTTACACACTGAGCCTCGCAGACAGCACAAAGAGTGCCGTCCTCTGTGGTGGAAGAGTTTCCATATTTTTAGCAGTCAATGTCGGCAGCTCATCCAAATCTGTGAAACCATGACTTCTAACTGACAAGCAGAAGAATGTTAAATTTCTGGGAGCTGAGAGAGAAGAGACAGGCAAGGAGACTCAGCACCCCCCCTTTTCTGTTTTCTCCCTCATCCCACCGCCCCTTAAAAGTAAATGACCTTACGTTATTCTCTCCATGATGTTTCTGATTGCTTCTTGGGTGATAGGATTGTGGTTCTTCGAGGAAGTTTTCATGAGACTGTTTCACACTCTATCGTATAGTTCAGTCTTTCTCTTTTCTTCCTAGTCCTTTCCCTGTCCCCAGCTAGCACGTCACTAGTCTGTTGGTATTGTAATTACAGTCGAGTGACTTGTGGAGTCAGAAGCCTAGTCCAGATAACCCCCTTGTGTGAGATGGCTGGATGCTCAGGCAGGTGGTAGGAAGGTCAGGCATCAGCATGCACTCCTGAGCTGAGGCCGTGGATCTTTCTTCCAGGAGAAGCAATAATAAGACCACCAGAGTGCTACTCTGGAAAAGCAGTATGTCATACTCTTGGTGTTCTACTAATTTTTGTGGCAGCGTCTGACTTTTATAGGCTTCGAAGGAGGCTCCATCTCTGCAGTGAGTCCAAGACTTAATGAAACTGGTTTTCTTTGTTCTTTAGTGGTGGTGCTTTAGTGGTTGCAGTACTCAGGGCTGGAATTTGGAAGAGAATCCCTCCTCGGGACAGGAGGGGCCGTATGTTGGCTTCCTTATTTGTTTTCTCGGCATTTTTCCCTGTTTGCTTGTTGGGGATTATTATTTTGTCCCCTGATTTGGGGGGAGAGCTGAAATAGACTTCCCTCTCATATGAAAGGGATAAGGCCTTTCTTATAAAAAGCTCCCTTGTGGAGGAGGCAAAGTTGTGAGGAAGCTTTGGTAGGTATGACGACTGATACACACCTGAGGGGGGGAGGGGCGCAGGTCTGATGTTAAGGAGGCGAACGATGTGAGAGGGAGGAGGGAAGGAGGTAGTGGTTTCCCTTCAGATCCCTCCACGCCCGATGCTAGGACTTGTGGCACGTGGTCCCTTGGGTGACTCTGTACACTTGAGATGCCCCTTCCCTTTGCTGTAGTCTGTGAGGTTCGTTCTCTGCCTGCCTAGTTCTCCGGGGACACTGGTGTCCTATCCAGAACATGGCAGCTCACAACCCTTTGCTCTTTCTCAACATGCCACCCCCACCTCTTTTGTCACCTGTCAAAATGCTTCTTGTGTCACCTTCTCCAAAATGACCAGACGTGGCCTCAACCGGAGGAAACCACCCCCTTCCCTAGGTTTCCATGTACATCTTGTCCTGTGACCCTCACGTTTCTGCTTTTCTCCCCCATTATTCTTCCTGCTCCTGGTCTGTCACTGTTCAGCATGTAGTCTGTGTGGGACGCTGTGTGCTTCTCCATCATCTTTGTATGCTCTCTTGTAGCACCCTGGGAGGTAAGTGTGTTTCTCACATGGAAAATGGGAAATGGGAATTTAGAGACCAGAGGTGATATTCGCTATGGTTCTGTGGCCCTTCAGTTTCAGAAGCGTGGCCTTTGTCCCTCCTCAGGTGCTAAACTCGCTTGCCCTTCCCTTCTGGCATAGGTGGCCCTTGGGCGCCATGTGATGGTGATACTTCCTTGTAAGAATGTAAGCTTTGTTTCCCCATTTAAGCAACAAGACATGGTTTCTCACTTGTCCTTATGTTCCTCTTGGCTCCTATTATGCTTCTGTGTTTTTAGTAGGAATGATTGTGTACGGTCAAATGTATGTCTGTATGTTCTTATGTGTGTATATATTTGGATGGATGGCGGATGGCTGGATGGGTGAGTGCACTGCTCAGTAATTCTTCTCTTGCAATAAACAGTTTGGAATATGGCATCCTCATTTGAAGCAACTCAGTCTCATTTAATTTCTGAAGCCTTGATTCTTTCTTGCAATTCTGCCAATCTCTCTCTTTTTTTTTAATATAACCTTTTTTGAATACGTGAAAGAAGACATTTCCCTTGCATATATACATTTTAAAGATAAATATGGGAAAAGGTTCATGGAGATTCAGACTTTGTTTTTAAATGAAGCTACATCTCTTCATCTGCTCTGTATTATGACATGATATTTGTTGGAAGTGTGAGATTTGCTTTACTTTTCTAGTTAATTGAAATGTTAGTGCATTCTCTGTTACTGTAAACATTTTTCTAATTTATGTTATTTTTTTGTTTAAATTGTTTATACATGTTTAAAGTTTATATACATTTTTTTTGTTGTTCATTTAGAATGCTCTGGACTATTAGTGAAATTCCCAGATATTAGGTAAGACAGTTTTTATGTACAGGGTGAGTTGAAGATGCTGGGGTCTTGTGCCTCAGCTCACCTATTCTTTGCCTTTAGTATATACTCTCCCTCAATTTGTAGCGCATAAAGTCATAGCTTAATTCAGATCCTGCCCTCTAAGCAGCTGACCTGCAAAGACAGAAAGTTAGAATTAATAGAAAGCATATAGTCAACCCTTTTCTGGTGTAAATGTGGGGAATACAGGGCAGGGAATAAAAGTCATTTGCTCAGAAGTACATGGCCTGCTAAGGGCTGAGCTCAGGTCCCCTCTGTGTGAGTCTACAGTTAGCCAGGACCTCTTACTATATTCTGGAGAGGACTCTCTCTCACTCTACCATAACCTCTTTATCCACCTCATAGAATTAGAATTCTTATCACAATTCTTATCACAAGCCTTCCAACAGACTTACTTGTAAATGAGCCTGTCTCCTTCAGTGTGGTTGGAGCTTCTAGAGACAGGGACTGCGTGACTCATGCCTTTGCTCCCAGGGGCACCCAGCAGGATACCTGTCACACAGGAGGTACTCTGTAACGTTTGGGGTGGTGGTTAGGCCACAGCAATATAAGTCTGTTTCTTCGGGCACAGATCCTGGCTGCCTAGCTACCCATTAGGCACGCTGGCTCTGCAGCCCCACCCGCATATTTGAATTCCTTTTACCCTCCTATACCCATTCCTGGAGCCTTTTCATCCAGGAGTTGTTGAACCACCGACATGTGGAAGTTTTCAGTTCCATTTCCCACCTTGGTATTATGTCTGCGATCTCCAGAGATCTTATAAGAAATAAGATTTCTTATTTTTAAATTCAGCCCAAGAGGGACCAGGTACCAACAAGAGCTTACGTTTATGTGATCCCATATGTCACGACTTCCTTTCCTTAAAAAAAAAAAAAAAAAATATATATATATATATATATATATATATATATGTCTTTATTGATATTTAACTTCTCCCAGCATCCAATGTGAGGTTCAGACTCATGACCCCAAGATCAAGAGTCATGTGCTCCGTCGACGGAGCCAGCCAGGGGCCCCCAGCTGTCATCATTTTTTTTTATATTGTATCCGCTAATAGCCTTTCTCTAAAGGGCTTTGGCACACTTAAAAGTGGACTGTTGTTTTTCCCAGTTAGTGGCCCCGTAGGCCTTCAGATCCTCATATTTTGCTCATTGTTCTCAAACTTTCCACTGATCTTTTTTAACAACTTGTGTTCCTTCCATCCTCTTTGAATGGCCTCGCATTTCCAAACGCCTTTTCATGTTTTGCACAATAGCCTTCATATATTTTTTTATTAAGTTTTGCCTGCTTACAAAGTTTATACTGCTCAATGCCCACATCATTTTTTTGTGGAATGTTGCTATGCATATATGATTTTGTCTCATCATCTTCTATTTTAGACTGATGCGAACAAGATAACGCATTCTTTTTTCTGGTCTTGAAAGTAGTAGCCAGTGATTATCTGTATACTATAATCTGGATCTTCTGTCTGCTCCAAATTCGCAAACAAACAAACAAACCCAAAACAAAACCCAAAACAAAAAACCTTAGACTATGATGACAGAAGAAGGTATTGGTCTTTCTTTTTCTGTTCTTGATAGATACCAACGTAAGTGAGCTTTCCTACTTTACCAATATGTTATTTTCTTGAGACGGCTCTGAAATCCTCCTGGTATTACAACTCTGGGAATTGGAAATACACACACACACACACACACACACACATACACACACACACAAACTCTCTCTCTCTCCTCTCTCTCTCTCTCTCTTTTATCTTTTAATACTTTGGCTGAATGAAATGTGATAATTACAATAGCTTATCATACAGAATAATTGGTAATGTTTCCAAGTTTGTACATTTGGGGTTGTCCTGTGGCCTGAAATCGACTTTCTCCAATCTTTATAAAGTTCCTTTTACAAAGATATTTTTAATGTAAGAT